GCTTGAGCCGTGTGGCCGGTGGCGGACTGGCGGAGAACTGGTGAGGTTTGACTTCTGAGGATGAGGACTGAGGACTGAGGGAGTGAGTGAGGCGGACAACAGAGAAAGCAAAGCAGTATATGAAATAATAAAAATGAAACCCTAGTATTACTAGACTAAAGGGTAGACTAGTAAATTAGTAAACCCTTATTGTGTTATCGGTTTACCCAATAACAGAATTGATAAACCAAGTCCGAACCGATAACCCAATAAGAATTTTTTTTTACCCGTTACCGAACCATTAGCCCAATAACCCAATACCGATAATCCAATAAGTAATTAACGGTTCGGGTTATCGGTTTTACCTGATATATGCCCACTCCTACACCTACTAATAAAAGTATTAATGTTTTGATTTATAAGGCAGCTTTAGGTAAGTACATTAATTCCCAAAAGTTAAACTTCAAACCTAAGGCTATCAATTCTTCTCAGAGTCTTAGCATTAATAGTGATACCTTCAATAATAAAGATACTCATGCTATATGCCACCAACATTTTAAAATCCAAACTCACAATAAATTTTCGAACCTTCTCATATAGAAAGAATTTTCTGATTATTCACAGGGGACCCCAATCGTTGGCACTGCCTCACCCGCCCACTCTCCCCTACCTTCGTTAATTCCATAAGGGCCAACTCCCACTGAAATGCCACGTGGCATAAGCGTGGCTAAGCTTAATAACTCTCCACCAATACACTTTGATAGTGATATAATGATATTTTCCCCTACTAATACTAATGACATCACACCCTCCTCACCCAATGCATGCAATCGACACTTGGCCAATCCTATTGCGCAAGTAGACATGCATATGGACATTCTAGAAGTTAACCTACACACACGCATAATATATCTTCCATGCAAACCAAATCTAACTCCTACAATCTCCAATCATTCCCTAATTCCCACGCCCCTCCCTCATCTTATAATGCCAGGGTTATTAATTCCCCTAAATAGGAGATCAACTCGACTAGTCCTCCCAACTCACAGACTGTAATGACTCGATTGATCATTTTGCTTTCTAGAATTCCGTTCCCCTGAATAAGACTTCCCGTACTTGCTTTTACTAATTTATGACTTGCGAGAATGGTTGGTTTGGGGTTTGGATGAGTTTGGGTTGAAATCGGAACACTTGGTTCCTTAAGGTTGGCTTAAAATACCAAGTTTGACTTCGGTCAACATTTTGAGTAAACGATCTCGGAATTGGGATTTGACGGTTCCAATAGGTTTGTATGATAATTTCGGACTTGGGCGTATGTTCGGATCCGGTTTTGGATGACCCAGGAGCGTTTCGGCACCTAATAGTAAAAGTTGGTTTTTTAAGGATTTTGAAGTTCTTTAAATTTGATTTGGAGCGAGTTTTGGTGTTATCAAGGTTTGAATTGAATTCTGAGACCGACAATAGTTCCGTAATATCATTTAAGACTTGCACGCAAAGTTTGGTGTCATTTCGAGTAGTTTAAGTATGATTCGGCGCATTCTGCGAATTAGGAAAACTTGAAGTTCAAAGTTTGATCCAATTTGGTTTGGCGGTATGATTCTTGGTTTCGTTGTTGTTTTTCACATTTAGAGAATTCAATCAAGTCCGTATTATGATTACAGACATGTTAGTGCCTTTGGACAGGGTCTCGAGTGGCTCGAGTGCATTTCGGACCCCTCGGAGCTAAGTGCATGAAACTAGATTTTGCCCAGTTTTGGTTTCCTTCTTCACAAACGCGAAAGGACCATCGTGTTTGCGTAGAAGGAGTTGGGCTGGGGGATGGGATTGCACTTCGTGTTCGCGATAAGTACTCCGTGTTCACGACGGTCTAGGCCAGTGGACTTCGCGTTCGCGTAGAGTAGAGTAGCTGGTACGGGACAACTTTGTTCTTCGCGTTCGCGATGAAAGGCCTTCAGAGGGCTTGGGCCAACGGCCTTCGCGAACGCGAGGCCCCTTTCGCATTTGCGATGAAGGGGCAGCTAGGTGGTGATTTTAAAAAATCGAGACCTAGTCATATTTGGGTACATTTATTACACATTTGGGCGATTGGGGAGCTCTCAAATAAGGGATTTCGACTTAACATCTTGAGGTAAGTAAATTATACATAATGTGAGTTAAATACATAGTTTCTGGGTAGATTATAACATGTGAATTAGTGAAAATTATGGTTTCAGATGTAAACCTAGGGTTTTGCTAAAAATAAGATTTAACCACGAAATTTGTTATGGAATTTAGTAGAAATCATATATTTATGTTCCTTAGGTTATGAGTAACAACTTCCTCTAAAGAATTTTGGAATCCGAGCATGTGGGCCCGGGGGTGAATTTTATGAATCTTGCAATTTAGGTTGGGTAACCACTTAAATGGGGGAATTGTGAACTTTTGAGCGTAGATTGATTAGTTTATGTAATATTTGACTAGTTTCGAGTCGTTCGGCATCAAATTTGGAGATTTGGATGTGTTCTTGAATTTGGAAGTAGGCTTAAGACAAGGTAAGTCTCCTTTCTAACCTTGTAAA